TGAGGCACTTTAAACGCATCATCTCGAACCTTTGCAAGTCCCACACTCTAGATCGGCCTGAGGAGGCCACGGGTTGGAGAGCTGGCACGTGGCAGCTCCGGGATCTGAACCCGTATCTTGCTGACTTCCCAAACCTGCACGGTTGTCCAGGGGCGGCTGCTGGGACAGTGAGTCAGTTCAGCCCCATCGTCATCTCCTCTGCGTGCGGCTGGAGGGGACAAAGAGGAAGACATACAGGACCCCTGCCCAAAGTTGCTTACAATCAAGTTTCTTGAAAAGAAGCCGCTTCACCTACCAGAGATATCCAGGCTGCACAGTTTCCCAGTTATTTTTTTTTTTAATCCTCACCGAGGATATCTTTCCATGGATTTTAGGAAGAGTGGAAGAGAGAGGGAAAGACAGAGAGAAACACATCCATGGGTTGCCTCCTGCACACGCCTGGCCAGGGCCCGGGCCAGGGAGGGGCCTGCAACTGAGGTACATGCCCTTGATCAGACTCGAACCTGGGACCCTTCAGTCCGCAGGCTGACACTCTATCCACTGAGCCAAACCTGCCAGGGCTCCTAGCTACTTTTTAACGGCTGATTGGTGGCTGCTAACGTGATAACAGAGTTTTTCTTCTGATTCTGCAAATAGACCTTCAATACATTTTCAGACTCTGATGATTTCCACTCATTAGAAGCAGCAGGCTGTGGGAAGTCATCTGAACAGGCAAGGACTCCCATGCATGGTGGGAGGGAGGAGAAGCTGCCCTGCCCGCAACATCACTGTGACGCCTCGAAGGGAGGGGTGGGTGGGCGCCCTTGGAGAAGAGGGGCTTTTGGAAGGAGCACTTCTCGAACTTGCTTTCTGGTCTGTCTGCTCGTGACTCGGGATTAACCTGTGACCAGCAGGCCGCCTTTCTAACAGGAAAGCCAGGCAAGGGCAGCCACCACGTCCTAGTCACGTCTTCCTGTGGCAGAAACGTGACAATGTATCCCACCGGCAACAAGAGATTTTAAAACATTTTTTAAAAATCCACTGATTTCCCTTAAGAGCTCTTCCCGGTTTCCAGTTTGGCTGCTGACCAAGGACAACGCACTCCAGGCGGCGGGCACAGGAGCCCGCCCCGCGGGGAAAGGCACCCTCGCTTCTCGGCCACAGACCCTGAGCCCTGCCTGCTCTCTGCTCTTTCCAGGTGGGGACCTTGGATTCCCTCGTCGGCCTCTCGGATGAGTTGGGGAAACTGGACACCTTTGCCGAAAGGTAAACTATTTCTTATTTACTACAAACGAGGGAGAGGCGGCCACTGTTGTCAGAAGACACAGGGTTCTGGCTTCGGCTGAGCCCATACTCGCCTAAACCAGGTCCTAGAGGTCATGAGAAGAGAGTGGGGAGGG